GTAGGCATAGTGTTCTCCGCTGCAGCACAGCATCAGAACAGCCGACCTGACATGCTTAACAGTGTGGCCGCGAATTTGCAGAGCCAGTTGCTGTCCTTGTGGCTGGACAAAGTCCTGCGGTGCAAGACCGCAGATCGCTTCCGAATGATGGTGAGCATGTGCCACGGGTTACGAAATCGGAACAGGTCCTGATAAATAATTAATGTTTATCGGCTGACTATAGACTATAGACTATAGACTGACTGTGATTGTGAGTGTACGTGTATAGAAGCTGTGTATCGGATTTTTTGTATTTTATACTTATAACTTATAACTTATAACTTATAACTTGACTAACTAACTAGCTAACTAACTAACTTAACTAACTAACTAACTAACTAACTAACTAACTAACTAACTAGCTACCCGCTGCTAGCTGCCGTTCGCGCTCGTGAGTTTTCATCATGGTTCGTAGCACATTGTGCAATCCTTCAGGTGCCCGGTTCCTCGCATGGAACTCATCCGGCTCCCTTCGGATTGGAAGCCAGCACAATCGGACCTGGATTGTGCATCGCATGCCCAGTCCTACACCTCGGCTGCCAAGTTTGACATGGCTGCGTTGAGGCTCATGGCGACCTCAGACTGGGCCAAGGCCAGCCATGCAGTGACACAGTCTTGTGTTTCGCTCCACCGGTCGGTATGCTGGTCGTCTCATTGCGGACATACTGTGACTGTGACATATGTGACGACATTTTGTATCATACTGACTCACACTGTAGACTCATACCATTTCAACAGAGACGCGGAGAGGCCAGCCCAATGGATGTCCACATTGCCAAGACAGTTGTTGATCTTCGCGGGCAGCTGTCAATGAAGCTGCAGGCGCTTTTGCGTTCTGCATCCGGAGCACCGAAGCCACCCGGCTTTACTATTCGTTTCATATCATCAAATTGCACATACTCATACACAGTCTTACAGAGTCATACACATCATCTACACATCACATCACATAACATAACCATAGCAATAACTTCGAGATTCTAAACCCTAAACTAGCCTAGCCTAGCCTAGCCTAAACTCTAAACTCCAGGGTCTTGTTAAGTCTTGTTCCCTTTCCGTATCAGGTCCTTGTGGGCTGCGGTGGAGACAGCCAGCAAACGGGCTATTACCGCTGCCAGTGTGGCTGCTACCGTGCGCGACGCTGTGGAGAAGTTCCCCTACACTGCTTTGCAGCAAGCTCAGGACACCGTCACAGTGCGGCCTTTGTTGGTCGAGGATCCCGTCACGATTTGCAGAGCTAGTAATGGGTTTGATTTGATATTGATGATTGACATTGATGATTGATGATGATTATGATATGAATTATGATTCGAATTCGAATTATTCAATTAATCAGGCGGCCCAGCTCGGGGTTGACCGTGCCCTCAGCGCCAGCGAAGCCTTGAAGGCGGTGCCGCAGACCGGAGACATTGACAAGGAACAGATCGAGTCATTGCACAAGAGCACCGCTGGTGTGGACACTCGGACTGGGCACAAACTAATTAGCGCAGGCTGATGAACAATGGTGCGGTTGATGCTTGTGTCGTGCGGGGGTGGGGAAACCCGGAACCTGACCCCTGTAATGTAGGAGTAAGATGAGTAGGAATCCCAGGAATGTCACAATGCCCGGTTGCCGTTTCTTGATCCCAGGAGAGCTTGCTGAAGCAAGTTGGCCGGCGCCTTTTGCCAGACGCCTGCAAGTTGTTGCAGCCAGAGACCTTCTTCTTGTCAGAGCCGGCCCCGGAAGCTTCCCAGCTTGCCAACACCAAAGTTGCAACCCTGGGCAAGTGGCTGCACTTTTTCCAGGCGTCTAATCTCTGCCGTCTGTTAGAAGCTCGAACTAGAACTAGAATAGTTGGGAAGTTAGAAGTTAGAAGTTCAGTTAGTTTAGAACCTCTCAACTAGTCGCGCAGTGTGGTGTGTAGGGAGTATACAGTAAGAGTCTGAGAAATATCATGTGAGATGAAATTCTCATTGATTTATATGCGGAGTGGCGCACTCACTCGTTCGGAGTGTGATAGGTCAATCCACAAGCTGACCGCTTGCATGCAGTGGTCAGTGACTTGTTTGTGGACTTCTTCCACGCGCACAACCTTGCGATGATTATGGAGAAGAAGCAGACGTCTGATGCTCTCGCGGCGGTTGTGAAGGGTTTGCACAAGCTCAGCACCAATGCCAAGATTGGGGACCTCCGTGACCTGTTGCTTGAGTACGAACGTCCTGGTTCCTCGATGACGATATGATATACAATGACAAAAATATAATAAATATAATTTCATATAATAGGCAGGAGTTTCAAGTAGTGGGGGCAGTTAGAGCTAGGGTCCCACGGTTTAAGTAGTATGCAGTGTGTGCAGCGTAGTGTTGATATGATAAACTGGGTTTAGAGTTTCGGGGGTTTCGGCCTCCATTTCATGCATTTTGAAAATAAGTTTGGAGGTTGTCGGGATTCGTCTGCGGTCTATGGTCTACTGGCTGTGCTAAGGCAGGGACAACTCGCAGGACGACGAGTCTGTGGCTGACTTGTTGGCAGCCGGCCAGCAGCTGATTCAGATCTTCGATGGCCCCCAGAGGCGCGAGCTGCAAGTGTCGTGGCTCAAGGCGATGCTGGGCAACGGCAAACGTGCCGACATCGAGATGTTGGACAGCACCGTGATATGTCTCTTCGACGACGCCGCCGGGCAGTTCTGGCGAGCTGTGCAGTGTGTGTCAGAGGCATCTGAGCGGGAGTCCAAGTACCTTCCAAAAGACGGAGAGAACATGGATTTGGGCAAGGCCAATGTGAAGGAGTTGGCCCTGCATTGTGTGCAGCTTCAGACCGTCGATGCTACGGAGATGCAGCGGCTCGGATTGTCCGATGTGGCCAAGAAGCAGGAGGCTGCACGAGCCCACCTCAAAATGGCGTTCACGTCGCTTTACGAGAAGACTGCTGCCGCGAGGGAGTCTTTGGACGCCCCGTTCGCTGCCTTCAGAGAGATCCGTGCCGCCGTGCAGGAGTGGAACGAGGAACAGATTCGGCGTTTGCTGCCAGAAGAGGACGAGGCCGGTGTGGCCCGCAACAAACTGCAGGCCATGATCGATGGCTCCTCTTTGGAATTAATTCGGAATTAATATGAATTCTAATTCTCGATTCTCGAGTCTTGAACATTAAAGACTAAACCGGAACCTGCAACCGGTTAGCCCCAAGGTCGCATTGTCAGGTTTTGTTTGACGTTGTTACTGTCATTGTCAGTCATGAGTCATGAGTCATGAGTCATTGTTGTCATTGTTTGTTGTAGTTCCACATACAAGGTTGCAAGCAGCTGCGTGAGCTGGAGGAATCATTCTCGGTCCTTGAGTCTTGGGAACAGGATGCCGTGTACAAGCTCCCTGAGATTGAAACCTCGTGGAAACAGCTGCGCGAGATCGTGAAGAAAGCCCCAACGGCCACCGACATCTTCCTCGTGGCCGCATACATCATGGGCGCGGACATAGCGCTCGGCGCGGTCGCGACCACGACGCATCAGCAGGTCACCAAGTACTTCCAGTTCTGCATCTCTGAGCTGAAGGTGGCGAAGAAGGACTTGCCCAAGACCATGACTGACCGGATGGATCAAATGGTCAAGGAGCGGGTGGTTGATTTTTTGAGCACATTTACTAAGCTAGATTTTGGGGGGATTGTTGGAGGGGGTGAGTGTATTACTATTAGGGTTTAGGGTTTAGGGTTTAGGGTTTAGGGTTTAGGGTTTAGGGTTTAGGGTTTAGGGTTTAGGGTTTAGGGTTTAGGGTTTAGGGTTTAGGGCTAGGGCTTTAGGCTTTAGGGCTTTAGGGTGTCATGGTGTAGGGTCTGTAGGGTCTTTGTCGAACAGAAAGGGCTAGACTTGTGCAGTTGACAAACCGGGGCATGCCGCCATGCCCCAATCCTCGGAACACATACGCCCAGGAGTCGCGGCAGCTGTCAGCAACATCGGATCCGTCCCCACGACCGAGCAAGCTTCCAAAGAAGGGATGAATGGAACGTCATCTCATTTGGGATATCATATCATTGACATGATATCATTGAAATCATCATGATTCCGCGATGATTCTGATCATCATAGTGATGGCGAGACCGTCAGCGCGCGTCAGTTTTCTGTAGTGTCCTGTTTTGCAGCAAGCTACACTGTTCGATCCAGCCTTTTCGCATTCATACGGTAACTGTGGTCAGTAAGGAATAAACTGAACTGAATAAAGTGTAAGTTGTAAGCCTCCGACTTTCAGCCGAAGCCTGCAGCCCTGGCAGCTAACTTGTACCTGTGTCCAGTTGCCTGCTGCGGCTTCCAGCTGATGTGCAAGATTGGAAAGTAGCAGCTGCATCCATGAGAGAACTCTACACTATGCTGCTATGCTGCTAGTGTCAACATGTTGTCTCAGGTTACGGTTCAGGGCGTTTAGGATTTAAGGTTTAACCCTAAACCCTAAACCCTTTTTAACTTTTAGGCTTTAGCAAACTTTAGCCGTCATGTAATGCTGAGGTACAGTCGGTAGAGTTCTTTCGCACGTTGACGTTAACAGACACGAAAACTCGTGCGTATCCTTTTGTGCTCCGCCACGGACTGTTGGGATCATAAAAGCTCTTCACAGCTGGCAGCACACCGAACAGGCTGCATGCTGTCGGAGACTTCACCGTGTGCCCGCCTCTGGCAAAAAAAAGTCCGTCTGAACGTTCATTGGCTGAAGCCTTTCCGCAATTGATATATGATTTGCATGCCGATGCCGAGCAGGAGCTTCCGAGAGCTCGATTTGGGCAGGCCGAAAAAGCCAACGATGCTTTGCGGAAGGAGCTTGCAAGTTTGCGGCAAAATCCTCTGTTACAGCATCTCTCTGATGATGAGTTCTACGAGTGCTGTGCTTAGAACGAGGGTGATGCAGACTCGCCTTGATTGTCTTGCGAGAGCGTGTGCCTGTGCACATGTGTGTGACAGTGTGTGTGTGTGTGCATACTTTCGGTCAAGTAATCAAGTATGACAAGGCATGCGAGGGATGCGAAGAACCGGATGGGTGCAAGGGCGTGGTCGATGACCATCCCACCACGCCAAGAGGCTATCGTCACGTTACTATTCTGGAAGGCTAAGCTCGAGGGCTTGGATATGGACAACTTGTACGTGGACCTAGGAAAAAGCTGGGAATATACTGCCTTCCGTGACGACGGGCTCCTGCCAGCGCATCGTGACTGATTTGCGTCAGATGAACAATAAACACAAAATCATGTTATGGAGAATCTTAGTCCAGAATCTTCCTTCAGTTGAGATTGCATCTAGGTTCACAACGAATTCCCGCATCTACTCGTTCGCGGTGGGCAGACTACTTCACGGCTATGAGCTTTTGGGCTTGCAACGTGGCGAGCACAGTTACCCAGTAGCTCCGTAGTAGTAGTAGTAGTAGTAG